CTCTCTCTCTCTCTCTCCGTCTTGCTGTCTCGCTCTGTCTCTCCTCTCTCTCCCTCTCTCTCTCTCTTGATATATATATATTTACATGCATACAGCCTATCTCATTGTTGCAGCTGGGTTTCAATGATGAACGATGCTCAGTTAAACTTTGTTATCCTTTGTGTTGTCGTCATACAGTACTGTTTTGAGACTACATCGTTGCTTTCAAAATTGCGAGGGATATGGTTCTAGACTAGTACAGGAGTTAGGTCGATTGCCAACGCATATCCTGCGCGCTCCTTGTACAAGTGTAGCTCTTTCCACCCCGCAAAATCCTGCTTTGCCTCATAAGGCCTGACAAACTTGCCCTCTGTACAAATAGATATACATTTTATTTGTTACTGTACCTATCTACATTTATAGATGCACGGTTGTGTCTGTCTATGTGCTGCGTTGTTCAGAGTCCCCATTTCTGCATGATTGAACGCTTCCAAAAGGCAATACGGATCCCTTGAAAAGGTTACAGCTCAGATTTGGAGCCCCCCGATGCAGGCAACAGGGAAGGACGCTTGCCCAAAGAGGGCGGCAAACAGAAGCGTCAAAGCACCGAGGCTGTCATTGCCTAGTCAATCCTACTTGGAGGGCCCGAGGGACTTAATTCAGTGTTTAGATTTGAGAGTTTAGGGCTGACATAGTCCCCCTTAAGTAGATCGAATATGGCTTTGGGTATGTTATAATAAGATCTCCATATACACCATATTCTATTTATTTAATTTAAGGGGGACTATAGTAAATGGCGCGAAGACCGGCACTGAACCTCGGTGCCAGTAGGGCTTTGGGACGGTTTCAACTCCCTTCTGGAAGAATCTTCCTACATAGGGTTTAGCAATTGGCTCTAGGGTTTAGGGCATGGAAAAGAAACTGAAATTGCTATACTGGAAAATCAAATGGAACTTGGGGATATAAAGGGATACATATATAGAGAGATATTTAAAGAGAGGTCTTTGGTTACCCCTGCCGGCCCATAATGATGGAGTATCGCATTGAAGGGAAGATGGACAATTAGATGGATACTGGTGGTTTATAGGTTTCAGGGCAAGCCAAGTTATGACCGCGGAATATCCTACGTCCTGTAGCCCCTTAGAACTGTACTAGATGACTAGATCAGATGACACTGGTATTGTGTAATATGCCCGGTCAGCAGTAAAGCCTTCAAAGCCAGGTTCAGGGTTCAGTGGTTTAGGGTTTTAGGGTTTAAGTTTAGGGTTTGCAGTTCTGAGCTCGGTCAGTCGGACCAGGATCTGGTGAAGGACGCCAAAGCCATGATGGACGAAATAAAAAAGATGAAGCAGGACAGAACTCACTGGGAAGATGCCCCGCTCACAAGCTGGCTGTTGCCTAAACTCCTCTTGTGTTTGCCTTTTTGATTGAATCTGGGACCATTCAGAAACTCTAAACCCAATAATTTTGTGCGGCCAAACTGGGAGGCTGGGTCAATATTCTTCAATTGCGCATGGGGGCTTCCGCAAATCGAGGATTGTGGGGGAGGGGGTCCTATATTAAGGATTATGGCATTTGGGGCCTTCATTGAGGCCCACAGTAGTGGAAAGCCCCACGTGGATGTTCCCAAGACAAATCTCGAGACGTAATCCCTACACGTAGAAGCCATCAACCATACTATAAGCACCAAAATCCCAAACACGTCAAAGCAAAACCTTAATCCATAGCCCCTGCCTGAACACAACGTATATTTTAGCACAACATCCTTTTTGGCAGTTTCTATTCGTTTTGGGCCACCATTTTCTTTTGGACCGGGAAATCCTTAAGCAGGACCTAGACTCTAATCCTGAACTTTCCCCTTCAGGAGACCAAGCTAAAGAAAAAGTTCTTGAAGAAAGAAGCAAAGAAAGCGCAGCAGCCTCAGCACAACGTTTGGGGTGTAGGTTCGTATGTTTTTTGAGGATGACATGTTTTGAGGGTTTGGGAAAAGTTTAGGGCCTAGGATTTTTAGGGCTTGGGACTTGAGGCTTCTTGTAGGAGGGACCCGTAGACTACAACACTTTCACATTACGTATATATTCTCGGATTTTTCTAGGGCAGCGGGAATTTTGCGAAACCTACATTGAGGGATGTTTCGACTTTAAGCTTTCAAATCTGGACCTGCGCCTAGGGCTGCATTCTCAGAAAAGCCGGCGTAGGCCGAAAGGACGAGGGCTTATAGTCCCCCTTAGCAGATAGAACAAGGCTTAGGGTATATTATCATAATAAAATCCCCATACACCCCATATTCTATCTACATACATAAGGGGGACTATAGCCTCTTGGTGTTTCATGGGATGCCTAAGCACCCAGCCCTCTAGAGCACCTCTCTTGGGTTCCCCTATTGCTGGGCTTACTTAGGGTTAGCGCAGGCAACTTAAGCCTAGAGGAGGATCAAGGGGGGCCGTCAGGGGTCCCCCAGCTGTGTTTAGGGTTTACCTGGACCCTGGATGTCCTACTTTTTTGAGGATATACCTTATGAATATGTAGGACAGAACCCTAAAAAAGAAGGACATCCAGGGTCCAGGTAGGGTTTAGAGTGTTTGTTCGGGGCTTGGGCCAAGGGAAGTCACAAGATAGTTTCCAGAAATACCATCGGGCGTCCAGGAATGTAGAGCGAGACACTTCACTTCAAGAAGAATGCAACGTTGGTCCAGCTTGCTTCCTGAACCGCCTTGTGATTGTGGATAACCTACTTTAGTTGTATGCGAAATGAGGAAATTTACGGTCGTGGCGTGCGTTGACATGCATTCACCACGAGGAAGAAGCTGAAGAAAAAGCAGAAGCAGATGGAGAAAGCAGCAAAAAAGGAGGGCAAAGAAGGCAAAGAAAAGGAGAAGGACAAAAAATCCGATGACGACAGCAGCTCCTCATCTTCCTCATCATCTTCCAGTAGCTCCCTGTCAGAAGGTACACAGGCTCGACTGCGGAAGGAGCCGCTGATCTGTTAGGGTTTAGGGTTTAGGGTTTAGGGTCTAGGGTTTAGGAATGCCGCGGTGGAGTCTCCCCTCGTGTCCTTTGGCTCCCGATCTTTGTAGGCTCTCTTTGCCTACCACTTGCTGATGTGGTAATGTTGTACTGGCAAGCAGAATGCTTTGTAATGGCTGGGATTCCTTCATCTGGTAGCTGTCACAGAATTTAAAGCTACTATATTGCTGAAATCATATGAATTACTCTATATATATATATCCCAATTTGGCAACTGAATTTAAGTTCCTTAACAGCGTCATGTGCAGGAGTATGGCATTCCCAAAACAGTCATCAAAACGGATGAGGGCAAGAAGCCGAACAGCAAGGAAGATACTGGGAGGACTGGGCTGCTCATGTATCGGATGAGTCATAGTCAAAACTCCTACTATCCACTTTAATGACCTACATAACCCTCTTTGGGGATAACCCCCATACTACTCCCCTATTTAATCCCCTTTAAGGAGTTTAGATGATGGCTCAGATGGCTTGAAGTTTTTTGATCGTTGCCCTTCAAGCGTCTCAGGGATGACGTTGCTTAGAGGCATGCAGGCCTTGCCGGGGGAGAAGTAGCCAGAGGTGGCAGAGTCCATCGCAGACTTGCGCATCATGCTACATGAAGTCTCTAGCAGCTTGCAGCAGGATCACACTACGAGAAGCTGGAGAAGTTGGTAGAGAGAGAGGTGGCCGCAGTGAAGGCAAGCCTGCGCGACCCACAGCCGAGGCAGCAGACCTGGAGGCTCTGGGGAAGTTCCCATCTCGGAAACGCAGAGAGCGGGAGCATTATGACAGGGATGACCGTGATGACCGGTACCCAGAAGATAGACGCCGAAGCCCTGGCAGGCGACGCAATCGTGGGAGGTCTGACAGCCGCGCTCCCCGCAGGAGGCGCGAAGCCAGTGACTCTCGCAGCTTCCGACGCCCTACCCGGCGGCAGCAGAGCCGGGGTGATAGCCGGGATAGACGAAATGAGTCCCGCGACTCACGGCGGCCGAAGGAGGCAAGCCCAGAAGCCCGGCGGTCTGAAAGAAAAGAGGAGCCACGGAAGCAGGACAAAGCAGAGCGCGAGAACCGTCGCCTGTATGCCAGCGGGGCAGCCAGTGACCTCGAGAAGGACACAGGCAAGGCTGACAATGCTGACAGGGCAGAAAAGAAAGGTAAGAAGCCTAAGGAGAAAAAGGAGCAGCCTGAGGACAAGCCGAAGAAGTCCAAGGACGAAGCTCCAGCGAAGACAAAGGCCAGCAAGGGAGAAAAGGAAAAGAAACCTAAGAAAGCCAATAAAGACGAGGAGGACGCACCGCCAGCAAAGAAGAGGCGAAACAAGCAGTGACGCCTCAAAGACATGCATCAGGCAACGCGTGAGAAGCTTAGGCGGTGCGGTGTGGGGTCAAGGGGCCGCTTCCAAAGAGAAAGAAACACGCGCAAGATACTGCAGATCTCGATTAGGGTGCTAGCTTATCGTAATCCTTTCGCGTGCATGGTATCCCTAGGGATCCATGTATGTAAATAATCCTTACATTGGGCCCCAAAGTCTGTATATATATATATATTACCTACATTGTGTTATTTGGATCCCTGGGGTATACTTTATCCTGCACCCCATGCCATTGAAAGCTCGCCTAACTTCGTGCCCTTAAGCCGAGGAGCCACACTCTCCTCGAGCCCCACTTGGAGGGTCAGGGGGACTTAGTAAGTAGTTTAATCATATAGGGACAATTGGGGTTACTATATTACTATAATTGCTATATGGCTCATAGGAATTTTAAGTTTACTTCGGGAGCCTTAGTAAGTATTTAGAGTTTAGGGTTTCGCGGTTGGTTGAGAAGGGCACCCTGAAAGGAGGTTCCCAAAAATACGCCACCTTAGCAGGTCCGTATACGGGGTCCAAAAAGGTCTGAGTATGTCGGGGCTCCTACTGTTCTGGCCCGTATCGAGACTATGAGGTAGGCTCGGGAGAATGTACTTACTAGGCTAAGAATGTGGATAGCTGGTGCTATCACATGGGCTTATACGGTTATACTTCAGGACTTGCAAAGTGCTCCGACCATCCAAGCAAGGCGTTCGCGGCTTTTGCAAAGCTGTTGGCCTGCATGACTGGTGATTCGTTTGGAAGTTTCTGAAGGGGATCGCCACAGGGTAAACCCTAAACCCTAAACTGGGTAATGCGCTGCGCTGCAGACGAGCCACTGGTCATTTCAGGTCCCGTGCCCCTGCGCGCATAGCTGCGAGCATAGCTGCGGCAAAACGGGGTCCGATGCGAGCTGGCGGTTTTCTCGAAAATCCACATGATCCTCAAGAGGTAGCTCTATGATATTGTTTTTGCGTCTGTACTGTGTGACTCTCCAAGAATATTACCCCCTTTTAAGAAACCCTACTTGACTCATCTTGTATAAAGGGGTACTGTCCTAAATATAGAGCAAGATACTAAGAAGGTGTGCATCTTGTTTGGACCAACCGCGAAAACACTTCATCACCTTGAACCTTGAGCTTAAGCCTTAAGCCTTACAGTTAAAACACCATACACGCGTTGCTGGACAAACATGGTTGGCATTGAGCTTATCTTTGTGGGGAGGGATCTGTTTCCTCACTCCTCTAAAGCATTCATGCCCTGAGTCCTCAACACTTTAAACATCTTTAAACCCTAAACACGAAATACCTCTAAGCACCCCAAACCCTCTACCAACTCTTTGCAGGGCTTTCTCTCAGCCCGCAGAGAATGAGGCCGCTCTCCAGATTGGCTTGCCTTCTGCGGGGCTTAGCGCTCATGGTCATAGGCGAATGCCCGAAACAGCAGAGATCACCCCAGCTACCTCGCCCGTCAGAGAAGAGGGAATGAGCTGTGTTTAGAGTTTGGGGGGTTCAGGGCTGAGGGTTTAGGATGTATGTACGACAAGTTTTTTGCGACCGTGAGAAGGGACCCCCCAAGAGAGGACTCCGAAGTTTTTGGAATCCCCTATATCTTAGCAGTACATAACCCGTATAGAGCCTCAGAGAATCCATGCATATCCCTCTCTAATGGAAGCCCTAACGACGCCTCAAAAAAGGAATGTCAGCACCAGGCTGCAGAAACCTCTGGCTGTGCCGAGCTCAGCGCCAAAGGGCACAGCAGCGCAGACAAAGGGTTTAGGGATGGTTACATTGGGGTGAAATAATATAGGGGTTATATTGGGATAATGGAACAGAATATGGAAACTACTATAATGGGTTTATATAGGGATTATAGGGGTTATATTGGGATGATGGAAGATAAAATCGAAACTACGACATTATGATAGGCTATATCTAGGGGTTGAGGATTTAGGGTTTGGCGTTTAGGCCTCGAGGAGCTGGACGGATATGGGTATGTCGAAAATTGGCGTCTCCCTTTTGCCAACAAGTAGGGTTTAGGGTTTAGGGGTTTAGGCTCACCCTCAAGACAAGGACCCCAAATTTTGCAAACGACCAAAAATTATGTTGAGGATCTCATAATGCAAGGCTGCACGCATGGACATGATTTGATAAATTCTCCAGAAGGAAGTTTTTAATTCAAGTCGAGGTCATTCTGTTTGTGACCACCTAAACAGGACCCTGGTTGTAAGTTACCCCCTTTCACAAATCAAAGAGAGCCATGGTTTTGGCAAGGATCTGTGGAATGCGATCTGGCTCCCTAAGGGGCAGAATCCGATTCCAGCGTATGCCCCTCGTATTCTGAAGCACGCTACCGCGTGACTGCGGCTACTTCCGCCCCACCCTCAGCACAAATGCCCTGGTACCAGAATACATCAGGTTGAATGTCCATTCTAAGGGGGGGTTGGGCTGGCTGTTCTTCGAGGGCGGTGATTATTCGAGAGGTCCTTGAAAGAAAAGGGCCAGAAAAGAACAGCCCTCGAGCGTTGGAGACAAAGCAAGAGTTTTTCTTGCTGCTCTTGCTTTTGGGGGTTGTATAAAGGGGTTTAGGGTTTAGAGTAGAACTAGATTTCCCCTGGGTTTATCTTCGATGATGACTGACTGCATGGTATATACACACGTACGTATGGCGTGTGCCCCTGTGTGCAGGTCTATAAGCACATATGTGCAAATTGAGAGATATATATCTATATACACATATGTGTATAGACATCTATCTGTATGTGTGTGTATATATATATGTATGTATATAGATGTACATGTACATGGGCACATCCGTATGACATGGCCCAATTGAGATCTGTACACCTCTAAACCTTTTTTTCAAACTTATGTAGATCCAAATGTTAGTTTCGGCAAATGCGTGATTATTATAGATTCCCAAATACTGGAATCCTTATTCTAGGGACGCCAAAAAGGTACCCCTAATTGGGAAGCCACATGTACACAACACCCAGCCAGGCTGTTTATGTAAAGCTATGAGCATTTCCGTCTCGTCTAGCGATGAATACGCAACAGGCACATGGGAGGCTAATTCCACCAACATATCTGCCCATATCCGTAAATATGCATATACACGCCAGACATCCTCATGCATGTGTACTCCCCGCGCCGCTCTCTCTCTCTCTCTCTCTCTCTCTCTCTCTGGGTCTCTCTCTTTCTCTCTCTCTCACTCATATCTAGATATATATATATATACACGTACCTGCACAGTTGTTCGTGTAGAAACATCACAGACTATACGTTTTACATAAGCATGAGTATGCAAACAAATTCATGTATGTGGCACGTAGATTGATACAGTATTTACAGCGATCTGCTGAAGAAATGCATCTAATTGCAACTCATGGAACAAATGTGGAGCGTTCTGCCCATTTTAGCGGACAGTAGTGTTGAAGGCCGCTTTTTGGGAGGTTCGGTTTGATGTTCGTTGGGGAGGTTTGGGTCCCCCTCGAGAATCCCAGACCTTGAATCCCACCTGCAAAGCGTTGTCACCCAAAGAAATAACCAACTTAAACCCAAAAGTGCTTGGACAGGTTTTCGCTGAATGCCCTGAGCAACTTCCACAGCTTAGGCCTCTGCAACGCCACCACTTCTTCAGCAAAGCCGACTGGTTTGTCCTCACCGTCTGCTCCCTGGAGGGGTTAGGATTTGGGTTTAGGGATTAGGGTTTAGGGTTTAGAGTCTAGGGTTTAGGGTCTAGGGTTTAGGGTTTAGGATTCAGAGGTCAGGTATTAAGACTTTGGGTGTTGCTGCCAACTGGTTTCTTATCACCTCCCCCTTGTAATAACTCCAGCCCTCCACCTTACCCTAATAAGCAATGTTCACCCAATCAAAAAGTAAATTAAATTGGAGCGAAGGGGGTATGTTAGGGGATGAGATTGCTGCGGATGGAGAAATTCTTGTACCGCCTTGCATATCCCTGTAGCCTAGTTAGGGTACACTATGTATATATATATATACTTATTACATGAGTATACATATACATATTAGGTAGTCAAGTGGAAGGCTTCCGCCTTGGGCAGTAAGGGGGATGCCGAAATGAGCTACTGTCAGTATTATCCGTAGCAAGGGCCCTTCACAGCGGTTCAGGGTTTAGAGGACGTAGGGGTCCTTCTTGGGGCTTAGTAGTTTCCCTAATCTAGTCCCTCAGAAGGAACCCACATCAATTACAAGGTGTAGGAAATATTGACTGACAGTCGCATGAAGAATTGGCAGTAGGACAACCAGGAGGAAAGGATTGGCATTCTAGCGTACCATCCATGATGAGAGCAACAAAATACCACTAGTACCTAATAGTAATAGCATCCATAGTTGTAATGATCTTGCTGACGTGAGTATTATAATCAATACTGGTAAGTCCGGTTACGGCTTACCGGTTACAGGGTATAGTCGCTATGCCATCTGAAGCCATGCCCCTGTTAGCGTCCATTTTATACTACAGTCCCTAGTATTCATAGTATTCAAAAAAGGACCACAATGCAGACAACCTTATTAGAATCCCACAGCCCTCTTCTCCCCATATACGATTATACAACCCTTCTAGTCAATAAAGGGATCCAAAAATGCCTGCCCTCTATGTGAGCTATAGTCCCGACTTGGGAGTAGTATTACAGGGGTTATTAGGGAGGATACTAGGAGTTTAGACGCTAAACCCTAAACCATTACATCCTAAACCCTAAACCCTTAAACCTCAACCCTAAACCCTAACCCCTGACATCCTAAACCCTTAAACCTCAAACCCCGAACCCTTATCACGACATAGCTCATGCGGAGCACTCAGGAGCTGAACTCCCGGCAGACCTTCCGTTTGATGGTGATGTCGGTCAGCCTGCCTCTTGCATTATCGTACGGATTTTGAGTAGGGAATAAGATAATCCTATATAAGCCCCTACAATATATACATCTATAGGGAATAAGAGAAGGTAGTCCTTACATAACCCC